CAGAGTTAAAAAAAATATTTTTTAAGTTTATCTTAGAAAGAGAAAAAGCTAAGATGAAGAGTGAGTTTCTTCTGATATCTTTTGAAAGCTAGTTGACCCCCGCAGGCTGCAATTCCCCTTCTGTGACAGTGATTAGTTTCGGGTTACTTAACACACGCACCCCCACAAAAAATGTAGAGGAGACAGTGGAACGGGTTTTGGAGGTGCTATATTTTTCGTCCCTATTCGAACCTATCCTTACTGAAGGTTAGAATTGAAATGGAAAGGCCTGCTTAGGTATTCTTTGGCCAAGAGTTGCGCAATGAGCTATTGGCGACGGTCTGGGAAATATCCCTGAGGATGATCCGAAGACATGCCATCACAATTTTGATCCTCCACACAGGGGATGGCACCCCCGCTTCGGTAGCCTGACGACCTGCACGCGAAGTCGAGCACTTTACGGTAGAACAGTTTGAACGAGGACCAATACCGCACACCCTCGGTCCCGACGCAGACTGATCCAAGTGGTCACCCACCCGCACACTGACCGCAACCAGTGATGCTTGACTTCGGTGTTAACTCTTCAGAATTTCTACATTTCCAAAAGAGGTTTTAGAGACCATTTTCATACGAAAATAAATAAATAAATCTCTTAAACGAATTTGGTGATTGGTAAAATGTATTTATCTGAGAAAAACGTGCCAATCGGGTTCTTGTTTGCATGCAGTGAGAACGACTCCACAAATAGCTCAAGTCTCACTTAGTAACCAACCAATATTTTATTCAATATTTAAGTATATGTAAGCTACAAACTAACGATTTTTTCGGAATGAAAGCCAAAAATTGATCTATAATCAACAGTTCAGTAAACTTCACCTTTAGTCATTTTAATATAATAATTTACAAATATAATAGTTGAAATGTTGTACTGAAGTTGTAAAAAAAAAATATTTAAATGTAGTCCAATAAGTAAACCTTAGATACACTTTTTTTCGGTTTACTACTTCCTGTAATGCCGGTATGTATAGTGCATCTTTTGCATTTTCTATTAATTACTTGTTTTGTTCAGATAAGAAAGGTAACGAATGGGTGAAATGAAAGATTCGTTCTCTTGTGAATTTACAATAGCTTCTGACGATGAAAGTGAAGACTTAAATGACAATCCTCCTATTGACAGTTGGCTGAATGATGATACAGTACCCGTCACTTTTTATCGCTTTGATTCTAGCGAAATCAGATGCACATCTTCAAAAAAGCGAGCAAAAATGGTTGGGAAATATGTCATGGGAGATGTTCTTGGAGAAGGTTCATATGGGAAGGTTAAGGAAGTGCTTGATTCTACATCTTTGTGTCGGAGAGCTGTTAAAATTCTGAAAAGAAAAAAGCTAAGAAAAATACCAAATGGAGAAAAAAATGTGGAGAGGTTAAATATTTTAAAACTTATTATTTTCCAATTAAATGATTTGCTAACAGTTATTATTGAATATATATTTGTGATTAACCACATAAGACTTAAAAAATCGGTTGACCTAATTGAGCTCTTCAGGTTATAGCACTGCAAATGGTGACAACAATATAAACAGAATTATAAAGAGGGAGTGGCTAATTATATCGATATTGAATTCTGTGCTTTATTATTTTTTACTTGACATAGATGTAATTTTTACTTTGAAAAGCAGAGAATTATTTCAGTTTTTTGTAGAAGAAAAAAAGCATTTTTGAAATTAAATTGAAATAATAGTGAACATGATATGCGTGTTAGTTTAATAACAAACAAATCTTTGATTCATGCATAATGCTGAATGCTTTTAAAAAAAAAGAATTTTAATGACTGAAAAATGTATCAAATGGTCATTGCTAATGTCAATGGTGAGACATTTTCAGTGAGAAGATTCTATAATTTATAATGATGTTGTGTGAAAAAGGGAAAGTTTTTATTTTAGTTTATGTTTTATATTTATGAGGCATATATTTACCATATTGTTTTAAACTCAAGTTGCTATTTAAAATATTTTATGAGTTCCCATCTGTTTTTATTTTATATTCTCTATTTTTATTTTCAGATTAAGTTTTTAGGAAATAGGAATCATTAATTACTTGTTAAATTTATGCTGTTTCATTTATTTACGGACAGGGTTGCAAAAAACCCCGGTTTTTCAACAACAAAAAAAAACGGGTTTTTCCAGAAAAACCCAACTTGAGTGAGTTTTATTGGGCTTTTCTGGGATTTTCATGTTTTATTGGGTTTTTTTTTTTTAAAGAGAGGACAGTGATAAGTACCTTATTTTAAAAAGGCTTATTTTAATATTAATAATTAAGTTTAGTTTTATGAATTGACTTAACTTATAGATAATTAATGTGTAATTATTAATTAATACAAATAAATTGGTGCATAAGTGTGAAAA